AAAGCATGCAGACATCTACTTTGCACATCCTTCCCTGAACCATTCATCTTGGTGTCTCTTTTCCAGGCTTCAAAGAGAGGGGGGATATGTCTTAACTTATCCCATCATCAAATCGAGGTCAGAGCCTGGCATACAACAGGCCGTCTGCTGATAGATGGATGGATGGATGAATGAATGGATGAGTGAGTGATGAACCAGTGGGTGGGTGGATGCACAGATGGACAGTGGGTGAGTAAGTAGATGGTAGATGGATGATGGATGGATGGATGGATGGATGGATGGATGGATGGATGATGGGTGGATGGATGCTTGGGGAGGTGCATGAGTGAATGGAATGAAGGCAAGGTCCAGGCAGAGGAGGGTTGCTGGTGGCCTGGAGGTGGAGCAGGTTCTTTCTCTCCTCTGGCTTAAGGCCAGGGTCCCCGGATGCTGGAGAGTCCTTCACTTTATCTCCCACCAGAGGCTCAGGCAAGTCTCTTATCTCTGCCCATCTCTTCAGAAATATGTCAGGGATGACAGATCTTCCCTTTGGCAAGTTCTAGACCACTGGCAAACCCTGAAGAAGGAAAATGGGAGGATTGATCCCAGGTCAATGCCATGAGCAACCCCCTGTGAGCCCCCAGCCATTGTTCCTCCCTCCCTGGGCTTCCCTGAGGGCTCTCCTCATGCAGCCCAGCTCCCCAGGAAGACCTGCCCACAATCTGGCGTCACACTGGGCACTCAGGAAGAGGTCCCATCCCCAGAGGCACAGGCACCTGCCAACCACACTGGATGCAGCCAGGAGCCAGAGAGGGTGGGTAGAGGACAGGAAGTGGCCGAGCGCTGACAGGCACTGGTCTCAAGCAGACTTCACAGGTTTGGTTCTGAGTTTTGGAGGAAGTGAGTGGTTCACACCTGATGAGTTAGGGTGCTAGGTGTCTGGATGCTTCTTCTAGGAGAATCTAATGCTGAGTACCCGGAAAGAGCAGCCCCCATACCATGGCCCCTCAAGGGACAGGGCCCAGCACAGCCCCACACAGACACTGAAAAGCAACAAGACTGTGACTTCCTGTCCCTTCAGCTGTTTAGCCCCACACTGTTGCTTGGTGAGCTCTGGGGCCTTTTCTGCCTGGGCACATGAGAGTTCCTCCATTCCCTGAGACAACTATTTATGCTTCTGGCCTGAGGGCCTCCTCAAGTGTCTTCCCTTCTGGAACTTTCAGAAACTTCCATCTCCTCCATCCCCCATTTTCTTTCCTCCATGGGGCAGGCGACGCTTCTCAAAGGAGGAGGTGTTTCCTGCTTCACTGCATGAGTGTATCTAGGGTCTCTGCCATGGGATCAGACACTGGCACTAGTCAGGTGAGGTAACCAAACCTGCCTGACCTGCACTTCCTCTTGGTGACAGGGATGGTGGTCAGTGGGAGGACTGGATGAGAGGGCACTGGGTAGTGGTTCTGTTGTTAGTCCTGCTTCCTACACAAGCACACGCACACGGCTGTCCTCTTTCATGCCAGAGTCACAAGGCCCACAGTCCCAGGCCCTGCCAGGCCAGGAGAAGGCGCTGCCCACAAAAACCCCTCAGCGGTCTTGCGGCAACCTCACCTCTGAGCCAAATCAACAGCACTATGGGACACTTGGCACCACTGTGTCACCCATTAAACATTGTACCGGATCAAGGGTTCCCAGAACAAGGGGGCATTTTCCGGACCCTGCTGCATCAGGAAGGAAGGGGAGCCAGGCCTGTGGCCAGGGTCCCTGATAGGGAACCAAAGGCCCGGAGCAAGTGGTGTTGGGCCAGACCTAGAGACTACTTGGTAATGGAGAAACCAAGGCTCAGGAGATGGGACCTGAAAGCTCCAGGGTCACATGACAGGCGTCACCAGCTGGCATCACTTGACTCTCTTTCCTTTGCTTTATGTCACCTCATCATCCCCCTGCCAGGAATCCACGCGATCTTTCTTTGCACACATGCACGGACAATATTAATAACTTTTGAAGGTGCCTCATTTTTAAACCTCACCTAGGATCACTTTGTTCCTGAACTTTTTATGCTGATCTTTCTTGTGATTGAGGTGACACACATACAACCTGCAATTAACCGTTTGAAGCATACGGCTCGGTGACATTTAATTCTCTCACAGTGCTGAGCAACCCCCAAGCTCTCTCCACTTAGCTAGACTTTTTTGTCACTGTATAATAACACCTCATATGCATTAAGAGATCACTCCCCCTTCCTTCTCTATGCCTGCCTCTACCGGCCTTTGCCCTCCTTCCTGCCTCTGTGGATTTGCCTGTGCTGGATATAACTTACAGAAAGACAACATGTGGTCTCGGGTATAAGGTTTTCAAACCTCATTCCTCTGTCAAACAGCAAGAGTATCCATTCTTTCTATGGCTGAATAATATTCCACTGTACGACAAACTGTGTGTCTTTATCTGTTCATCCAGTGATAGGCCTTTGGATCATTTCATTCTGTTTAAACACAGAGAAACACTGAAAGAAAAGCATAGCCAGGCATGGTAGCACACCCCTGTGATCTCAGCACTGGGGAGGCTGAGGCAGGAGGATCACTGCGAGTTCAAGGTGAGCCTAGGCTACCTAGTGAGTGCAAGGGAAGCCTGAACTACATAGGGAGACCTGGCTCATGAGAGAGAGAAATAAGAAAGACAGAAAGACAGAAAGACAGAAAGAAAGAAAGAAAGAAAGAAAGAAAGAAAGAAAGAAACACACATTTTCCCAGTTCTCACCCACACACCTCACCCCACTCGGTCCTCAAGCACTTTGGCGGGCTTGTCTGAAGACGGCCATGGTCACACCCACCCGCCCATCCTCCGCACTCCCCACCACACAGTCACAGCCTCAGGCTAGCGCCTGATTACTGTACCCATCTACCTCCCAGTTCCCCCAAGAAGTCTCTCTCGAGCTTTGGATTGGTTTGCTTGGTCTGTTGATTATTTGGGGTTTTGTTTTGTTTTGATTAAGGTGCTATAAAGTTTCCCCCATCACAGGTACATTTGGAGTCTCTTTTATGCTAAATCACTTCAAGATTTTGTCTCTGTGACATTGGCCTTTCAAGGAGTACAAACCTTTCAGTCCTATACAGAACGGAAACTTTGCCTGGTTATTTTGTATTGCTGTCATTTAACTTGTACCTCTGTCCCCTGTAAGTCCTGTGATTTGGGGCTAAGTATTTCACTGATAGGGTGTCTTTCTTTTCCTTTGTGGTATGAATTTATTCATTTATAAGTGGTGTGTTTTTACTTGACACCTAGTAATTATATAAATATTTATGGGGTAGAGAGGGATGTTTTGATACATACATCAGCAGGTTTTTAAAAAAAATTGGGGGGGGGGGCTGGGGATTTAGCTCAGCGGCATAAGCGCCTGCCTTGTAAGCAGGCAGTCGTGAGTTCAATCCCCGGTACCGATAAAAAGAAAAAAGAAAAAAAACTTTTGGAATGGTACTGGGATGAAAGCCAGGGCCCGAGGCCCACCAGGAAGCCCTCTGCTGAGGAGCTACAACCCCAACCCCGTTCTCTCTTCTATAATTTAATGTCCAAGTCTCTTAGATAATCTTGGTTTCTAACATAGTTACTTTGTTTTATTTGATGACGCTGATAAACTACCTTTAGAACTACCATGTAATCATTACTACCACCGACAGCAAACCTACTGAGGAACTCTTGGGGATTTTTTTTGTTTGTTTTTCTGGTATTGGGGATCAAACTCATGACCTTGTATTTACCAGGCAAGCACTTGAGCCACTGAGCTAAATGCCCAGCCCCTGAGTAACTCTTTAGCTGTTTTGCTGTTCTGTCTGCTCAGAGTATGAGCAGCGTATTTTTAAAACTTTATTTAAATACATTTTCTGTCCTGTGGTCAGGCTCTCTAATTTACAGTTTGGTTTCCATACTCCTGTTAGTGCATGATTCTGAGGTTTACCTCTTTCTGATTTTTTATTTAATTTGCTTAAATGTTTTTGAAGCTTTAAACCATGTATAAACTATATGCAAATGATCCAAAACACGAAACTATATTAAAAATCTTATTTGGAGCTGTTTTGTTCCCTTGTCAATCTGCTCTTATCCTCTTCCTCTTCCCTTAGTTTCTGGTTTACTCTTCCTGTATTTATTTCTATGTGTGTGGATGCACACATGTGTGCATATGTGTGTGTGCTTGTGTGTGCAGGCATGTACAAGTGCATAACACATATTGCTATTTTCTCTTTCTGACACAACATATGCTAATAGTGTGGATGGGAACCTGCAGTCATGGGGAGAAAATGGATTTAAATAAGGCAAGTGTGCTCCTCTCTGCAGATCGTGGACTTGAACAAGTCCCACGATCCCTCTGTGCCTCCATTTCCTTGGGTATAAAACGGCATAAAAACACCTACTTGTTCAAGCCAGTAGTCCCAGAAGTCTAGGAGGCTGAAGCAGGAGGATGGCAAATGTCAGCCCAGACAAGGAAACTCAGCAACATATCAAGAACCTGTCTCAATTTTTTTTTTTTAATTGAGAAGGCTGGGGAATGCAGCTAAGTGTGACTGCCTCAGGTTCAGTCTCTGATACTGGGAAACAGCAACAACCAAACTACCTCATATGGTGTGGGCCAACATTGAGGATTTTCTGACATCACACGGAAGGTTACATTCCTGATAGCCTAAGGAGTGAAATGCACCAAACAAGCTAGCAGAACACTGTTAAAATGTTTCAAAAAATTTTTAAACCTCTGTACCAACACACATAAGCCCCAGGACCTACAAAGAAAAGATAGAGGTAACTTCATGAAAACATAAAACGTCTCAAAAGCAAAGGGCAACTGTTTGATGTTAAAACATAAGAAACGAAAGAAAGATTTTGCTTGCAGTGGGCTTAAAACACAGCAGACAGAATGGTTTTGAAGAACTATCCGGCAGTGTCTGATGAAGCTTAGACACACACCTACTCTATGACCAGGTCGCTTGGGCCCCAAGTGGCTACATACAGGGAACAAATGTGATACACAATGTTCACAGCATCTTTATTCATAACAGCTCCAAACCGGAAGCAATGCATCTGTCCATCAGTAAAGGAACAGACAACCGCTGCGTGCCAGATTGTTCTTCAGAATCGTGGGACACTGGCTCCAGGACTCTCCCATTCCCCCAAACTGCAGATGGCTTGAGTCCCGTATATAAAGTAGCATGGTATTCACCTGCCTCCTATGCATCTCCCCTAAGATACTTTAGAGGTCTCTAGGTTACAAAACCAGACACAATGTAGATGTGATGTAAGTCACTCTTAACATTGTGTTGTTTAGAGAAAAAGCAGAGAAGAAGAAAAGTCTATACAGGGATGATTTTCAAATATTTTTAACCCGCAGTTCTTTGGAGGGCTGACTGCATTTTCATGCAATGGAGTACTGCTCATTCATGAAAAGGAACCAGCTGTAGAGACGTGTAGCAACCTGGGTGGATCTCAAAAACAACATATTGAGCAAAAGAAGTCAGACTTAAAAGAGTTTATCTGCATGATTCCATTACGTGAAGTCCAGGAAGAAACTTATCTGGAGTGATAGAAATCAGGATGAAGGCTGCCCCTGCGGGGTGTGAGCTGGAAAGGGGCCCAAGGGAACCTTCGGGAGTCCTGGAGACCGATTCTATCGCCATCTGGCCGGTGACTACGTGGATGGACACATCCATCAAAACCCTTCAGGTTCCACACATCAGATCTGTATCTCTCACCGCCTGTAAAACACACCTTAGTAAAAGCCAATGAACCAAACATATAGAAAGAGCCCCAACAAATCAACAAGAAAAGGGTAGTACAGAAAAATGGGATAAAGAATCCATTGGTGATGAACCCTACATGTCTAACACAGGAGGCAAATGCTTGGCTTCACTGCAGAGCTAGGAAGTGCGAGCTGAAACATTAAGATTTCATTTTTGATCATCAGGTTGGCCAAAGTTAGAAATGTTAGTAGCATCAGGTGTTCACCAGAAGGGCTGAATGATCAGTTTCATAAAGTTTCAATAAATTGGTGGAGATCATTCAAAGGCAATGGGGCAGTGTCTGTCAAAATTTAGACACAGACACTCTTTAAAGCAGCCCTATGACTTCAAAAAGGGAGTCATGTTAAATTTACTTCTTTTTGAATCTTAGTTTATCAATACAGGTTTGCAATACATGAAGAAGGGTACATTCTCTTAGGGAGGAGGTACACGGACATAGCACCTCTTGTTCTTTTCTGATTTCCCTTCCCACCCACACCTCCTTCCCTCCATCTCTAGATCCCTTTCCCCCACTTTCATTATTATTATTATTTTAGTTCATGTTTATAAAATAAAACTTTTACATTCATTGTGGGTATTTAGGTACTCATGCGTGACACACCTGAAATTTCTGTACCATAAGAAAGACCTATGTAGGGGCCGGGGATTTAGCTCAGCAGCATGAGCGCCTGTCCTGCAAGTGCGCAGTCGTGAGTTCGATCCCTGGTACCAAATAAAGAAAAAAGAAAAAGACCTATGTATATGTGCCAACATGAAAGGACATATAACTGAGTAAAAACAAAATGAAAAACAATATATAACATAACACAACCTCATCTATAGAAAAATACCTAAGAGCACAAAGCTACATGGACGTGTATATAAATACTCAGAAGAGGCCCAGGAGAAATGTACTTCAGTGCCACTTGGGCTCTTCTAAGGAGGGGAATACCCATTTAGCCAAGGAGAAGTTTCTTGCATCCTATTATATATTTCTAGTATCTTTTATAATAAATTCCTATATCTTTGGTATAATTTTTAAAATAAACAGAAAAGGGTTTGGACAAACACTCAGATGACAACCAAGGGTTTATTAAGGAATCATTGAAGATTCTCTTCTCACTTAATAGCTGCCCAGCACTGCGGAAGGGAGGAACCCAGAGGAGTGCATTATGTTCAAATCGCTGCACAATCGGTCGCCTAGGAGTGATCGTGAGATGCTGAACCTTCTAAATATGGTCCCCACTGTACCTCAGCACATGCTGAAAACGGGTGACAGAGCCAGCAGGCCAGAGCTCTAGTGTGTTCCAGTGCGTGCGAGCTATGATGACGGGTCCTTTCCCTGAATGCTGGTAACGCGGCTTAGTGACCCCCTCCCCAGAAATGGGAACCATATGTATATTAAAGATCACAAGTGCTGCTGGGTGTGGTGGCGCACACCTATAATCCTAGCACTCGGGAGGCAGAGGCAGGGGGATCACTGTGGGTTCAAGGCCAGCCAGGGTTGCACAGCGAGGTCAAGAACTGCATAGTAAGAAATGACTTTGGTAGGTGCAACTGTGCAAAACGTGTGGTACGCACAGCTGCTGGCAGGGCCTTGGTGGTTCATGTAGGCCCGTGTGCAAATACTCCTCAGCCAATACAAAGCGGCGGATGGGCCAAGCGAGATCTGCTGCCAAACACCAGTGCGCAGTCTGGGTTCTGAGTACTTTGGTATTTTGGAATTGCAGGTAAGGACACCATCCCTGATTAGGTCTTAGCTTATAAAGGCCATTTCTGGTGATATCCTGTCAGCCCATCCTGTCACAGTTGAGGAGCACAGTATGGGTGTCCCCAAAACCTTGCCAATTCAGTGTTCAGATGAGACCCATCCTTGGACAAATCATACGCAGACGAGGGAAATGAGGTTCCTGTAAGTACCATTTGCTTTTCCATTTTCTGCTCACTTGTAGGAAAGGGTGAAGAGCAGACTCCGGGAACACTGGCACACACAGACCCACAGAATGCATTGGGTGGCAGGTGGTGGTGGTCACCACTGAAACCCAAGCCAGCTCAGGGGGGGCCAGCTCAGGACATCCTGGCACAAAATCACATGGCCAGGTCCCCTGTGAGTATGGGTGTTGAATTTCCACTGCCCAGAGGTGAGGGGAACAACCTAGATGTCAATAACCCGTCCCTGGTTGGCAGTGCCCCCTGGTGGCTGGCATGAGCAAAGACCAATACGCTCTGGAAAAGCATTCTCGATCTTTAGCAAAGAGAAATTTTTCAAAAACACTGGAAGCAATGAGTCACCATGAGCAAGAGTCAGCGGAAACAACAAACAACACGAGATTTCCTAACCTCAGAGCTATTAACATTTGGACCAAATCATTCTTAACTGCAGGGACTGTCTTGTGCATTCAAGATACCTCCCAGCAGTGCTGTCTCCTTTCCCCTGGAGCCCCTCCACAGTCCTGGCCACCAAAAAAATGCCCCTGAGCTTATCAAATGTTCCCCAGAGGGGAAAATTACCCCAGGAGAAAACTACTGATTCAGATCTTTAAAGACTGCAAGTATTACAATAATGAGACTGACCTTAAAATAACTATGTGTGGAATGCCGAAAGAAATAACAGACAGAGTAGAAAACACAGCCAAAGAGTAAGAGGCAAAGTCATAGAAGTTATGGGCAGATGTTCACAGATCAAACAGCACTTGTGGAGATTAAAAGTATATTCTTTGAAATGAAAATGTCGATGGATGTGTTGGCTCTGTCCTCGTTACTACGTCAGAAGAGAGGGATGAAGAAGTGATCTCAGATGCGTCGGGAAAGATAGGTCAAATGGTCAGGGAAGTAGGATGGGGTGGGTATAGCATGACTAACTGGCATTGCGGGGAAAAGGACAGAGAGAAGAGGCCACACTGGGAAGGAGGATGTCTGGGACTCCTGGGTCACCCCGTGCAGGAGTCTGAAAGACACGGGGTGAGGTGAGGTGGGTGTAGAGGAGCAGACTGAATCTGAGGCACACCATGGAGATGAGGCGCAGAACCAATTCAGGGGTTCCCAGGAGCCGGGGGTGGGGGACGCAGAGACCACGGAGTCCTGCAAAGGGAGTGATCATGAGGACAGCTGGCCTGACCCCAGGCTTGGAGGATGGGCTCGTCTATGCCGAGTCCCACTCCTTGGTCTGAGCACAGTGTGTCACAGGACTGCACGGCAGGTTCACCTGGGTGGATTTCCCAGGGCAGAGAGGAAATGGGACGGTGTTGCGAGGGGTGTAGGTGTGAGCCAGGGCACGCTGATGCTCTAAGGGCCCCAGGGAGGCTCACCCAATCTGATCAGGGACACTCGGTTGGGGCGGGGGCAGCCACAAACCTAATGCATTGATAAGAGGAGGCCAGGCCAGGCCAGGTGTTTGAACTTGAAGGTGGAAGCCAAGCATTAGCAAACTACAGCCCACAGACCAAAGCTGGCCCACTGCCTGGCTTTGTAAATAAAGTTTTATTGGACAGCCACGCTCATACACATCTGTGTAACAGCAGCAAATGAGAGGTTGCCACAGATAGCGTGTGGCCTGCAAAGCCCGCGATGTTTACGTTCAGGCACTTGGGCGGAAAGTATTTGCTCACTGCTCTAATAGGCAGGCGCAGGCTGTGTTCTGAGAGGAGGGAGAGATGTGTGCCTCGATTGCTCGCTGCGGGTTCTTGCTGCTTACCAGCCTCATCCCCATCATCATCACTGCTCAGAGCCACGCTGCTGGGAAGCGGTCATCCCCCTCCCTTTCAGAGACAAGAAACAAAGGCTCAGAGAGGCCAAGTGCCTACTTCAAGGTGGCCCAGTGCTGCAGGGCAGCGCCCAGATTTAATTTCAACTTGGTCAGACTCCAAAGCCAATGTTCTTCCCACCCCACCCCCACTTCTCATGGCGGTGTCTGTCCCAGGTGGCAGGGACAGCCCCAAGCCGGTAGTTGGCTACTGCATGTCACAGCGGGCCGGGCCGTGGGCCAACCCGGGGAGATGGCAGGTGTTCCACACCCCTCCACCCGCACCCTGAGATCAGAACCAGGGGCCAAGTCTGAACTAGAGCGGGCACCTCTGGCCCAGGAGTCTTCCCCCATGGCTCTTAACTTGTTCCAACATGGACTCCGCCCTCTGCCCTGCACTCCAGGCCTCTGGGGCTGCTGGCTCTGCCAAAAATGCTATCACCCCATCTCCCTGAGCCCCGTCTCACAGCCAGATGCTAAAGGCAGTTGGGAGATACGATCTCCACAGCTACAAAAAAACCCATGAGGGTTGGCAGCCCTGTGCCGTGCCACCCACAAGAGATGACCCAGTTGATTCTCCATGCGATTGCAGCACCGCTCCTCCTCCTCCCCAGCGGGACCCCAGACCCTGGAGCACAGCCCAGCGGTGCTCCTTTCCACCCTAGCCCGGCTCCTGTTCCCTCGTGACTCCTTCAGATCTTTGACAGCCACTGCGACCACTGCATCCACAGAGGTCCTGCCAGACCGGCTGCTGGGTTCTGTGGTTGTGCTGTCCCGAGGCTTCCCCCAGGCCTGGCGGCTCTGGTTGTCTAAGGGGAATCGTAAGGGGACTGTCACTGGGGCCTGCGTTGCCCAAGGACTTGGGAAACTGGGAGAAAGAGGGCAGGAGAGTGCGAGACCGTGACTCTTTGGGAAGCTGTCCAGCAGCTCCCAGGACAAGGTCCCTCCTGACCAACTCCCTGAATCCGTACCCCTAAACTTTTGCCCTAGCCCTGCATTGCCACTGGCTTGGGATCCTGGGTGCTGGTTGCAGAGGGAGAGGGTAATGACAGGCACCTCTGCTTGCTGTCCCAGCCTTCCTCAGACACTGCCTCTCTGTCGCAGTCCCTCCTTGCTGTGACCACCGTGTGTGCTTGCAGGGCAAAAGAGAAGAAAACAGGTGGTGAGAGGATGAGGGAAATGAGATTTCATGAGCATCTACTGTGCACCAAGGTCAGAGCTCCCACGCTGCTATAACTAAGGGCGTGATCTCAGTTCACCTGTCTGTAAATGAGTGTTAAATAATGGCAATTATTTCCTATTATTGCAAGGATTAACTGAGGTCATGTTTATAAAGTGCTTAGACGAATCCCTGAGCCAGGCTTGGTGGCACACGCCTGTGATCCCAGCATATGGGGAGGCTGAGCCAGGAGGGGTGCCATCAATTCAAAGTCAGCCTGAACTACATAACAGGATATTGTCTCAAAAAATAATAATAATAATGCCTGACTCAGAATGGGGTAGAACAGTAGTATGAACATATTGTGACTTTATGAATCATTATTTTCTTTTACTATTGAGGAAATGAAAGCTCAGTGAGGAGCAGTGACCTGCCCAAGGTCACAGGGCAGGAGTATGGTGGTGGGAGTCACACGCAGGTGTATCTGATGTCACTGTTCCTTGTTCCATGATGTTGAGTTCACAGATTGAGATAGAAAGAGAAACTCAAGTGACATTGAGGCGCAGGGCAAGGTCGCTATAAAAATGGTTGCCAGGGACTCTGCTGGTCCCCAGAGAAGGGAGCATATCATACTCACAAAGCTCGGCGGCTCCGTAAGCGGCCGGGGGGGGGGGTGCTCAGCTTCCCAGCACCCCCAGGGCCCGGTGGGAACCTAGGAGGGGAGGTGGTTGGGGGGGAAGGTGTGTGCCTCTCTGGTTACCACCTAAGATTGCGCAGACAGGAATCACACGCTGAGCTCAGCCTCCTCCCGGAGCAGCGCTGTGAGGGGGAACAAAGCCCAAGAATAGACAAACTCTGAGCTCTGCACCAGGACAGAGGCGGCCCAGCACCTACTTAGGAGCACTGGCATCCGACATCACGTGTATGCCCAGGGTCACAGTGGCAGAGCCCCTACCGGGGGGTGTCCTCCTACAGTGTGTCATGAGGCAGGGGGACCCTAGGACCTGACTAAGGGAGGCTTCCAGAATCCACTTTTCCCAGCTGTGAAACGCAAGCGATGGGCTTCTGGATGGTTCTGAAGACTGAGGCAGGAGCCAGGAGGGCGGGGCCTGGGGCTGGGGTACAAGCGCAGGGCCCTCGTCCACTGCAGAGCAGGCAGGGCATCACACACTATCAGGGCCCTGTCCTCACCACTGTACCCTCTGGGATCCTGCTCCCCCACCCCTAGAGCTGTGCATCCAGACAGGTTCTCTCTGGGCCTTTTTCCACGAGCCCCAAATCCACTGCGGGACAGAAGTCCAAGTAGGACATCCCTGGGTGACAGCAGCTCCTGGTCTTATCCAGAATCCCTGGCCGTGGCTGCAACCCTGGGTTCTCCATCATGGGTGGATCAGGGAGAGGCCAGGCCAGAAGAGAGTGGTCCATCCAGTGGCAGCGGGGATCGACAGCCTGTGAAATCCTCACGGGCTGGCCCGAGCCTCTGATTCCGCAGCTTGGGACTTGGTGACTTCTTTGCTTGATAGAGCGCTGCCTGCCTAATGAACACGCTGATGGGCATTCAAGTTCAAAGCCAGCACAGAACCAGCACAAAGGGATTAGAGAAGAATGGGGAAACAGGGTGGGATTCAGGGGGTACGACAGCCTGCTCTCAGAACCTGGGCTGTGACGAGACACCTCACCCAGGGCACTAGACAGCACAAAGGAGACTCCACCTTCCTGTCTGGTTCTCAAAAGCATCTTTAGATTTCATCATTGTGGCTCTAAAAACCTTGGCACTGAGGCACCACCTCGGAAGACAGAAAGACAACAGTGAAGGAAACCATGGTCTCCATTCCTCCGGGACTGGCGCCTCGGAAAAGAGGTGATGGGGATAAAAAGATGCTGTCAAGACCTAGGTGCCTGTGTGTATGCCAACAGCTGGCACCTAATAGAGGAGCTCAGGGGGGATTCCTGGAAACCCAGCCCCTGCTGTGTGTGTGGCCGGGTCAGGGCAGGCGCCCAGGGGAGAGTTGTAGTCTCCAAGAGAGATTTGTATCCGGACTGTGCTGCAGAAGCAATCTGTACCTCACAAAGCAAAAAGGGGTGTACCGGAGTAACGTATGCGTGATAGATGGGAGGAAGACCCCAGGGAGACCCCCTCCTGCTGAGGCGTGTCCAGGGCCCTGGAGAATGCCACGTATTCCTGTGTGCCTTTTCCCCCTGGTTCTCCGAGTCTGTCCCACAGGATGGTAATCCAGCCAGAGGAAATTTACAAAGCTTCTAACAGTTCCTGTGCTTGAGACGGTCCTGGGCTCTTCTCCAAAGAATAGGTACTGTGGATGCAGATGGGCGAGAGACACAGGTCCACAGCCTGACAAGGACTCACAGATTCAGAATCTGCAGTGGAAATTCAGACTGGAGTGCAGGGCTGGGCATGGTGACCAACGGACCCGGTCTAGAGAGAAGGGCAGGTCCTCAGCTTTGGCTTTGCATCTCAGTTTGCCATGAGAGAGCCATAAAGCCTTGGCCATCAGGTCCCTGGGCCTCAGGGCCTGGCTTTTGTAGAGGAAGGAAGTAGGACAGGGGAAAGGGGTATCGTGATCAACTTTGTGCTTCCAAAGAGGTTGGCACTGTGCCGAGTGCTTTATAGAAATGGCCTCCCAACCCCTGGGCAGCAAGAGCCATGTTCCTGTTCTATGCAGGAGGCAAACCCCAGTGACACATGGAGGGACAAAGCAATAGCGACGGTGATGAGACCATCCTGATGGTAACAGTTAGCGTTCAGTAGCACAGGCTGCGTGCTGGGCAATTACAGGCTCCTTTAAACAGCCAGTAGGCAGTGGTGGCCCCATTGTACAGATGAGGAACTGAGTACTGAGATCTAGAACTGCTGCCCAGAGCCAGTTGCCATGACATCTTTCCTCTTCCTGCCACAGAATTGTCATAACAGAAAACACTGCATGTCCCTGGGCCTTCCTTGGCCTCCTTTCTGGAGCAGCCCTGCTTTTTTATTTTTTTAATTTTATGTCTTTATTATTTATTTGATACTGGGGATTGAACCCTGGACCTCCCACTTGCCAAGCAGGCGCTTGTGCTGCTGAGCTAAACCCAGGGGTTCTCCCACACGCAAACCCAGGGGCTGTTGCTCTGGGAGGTGACTTGGAGGATAAAGTGCTGGGGCAGAAGATAGTGATGGGTGCAGAATCCTCTCCCACTGGCCTGTCCCACCTTCCTTCATGTCAGCCCCCAGCTTGACCTGGTCCCAGAGGACACAGGGGCCAAGGATTTGCAACGCCCCCGCCACCCAGCCCTCCCTCCATGGGCCTTTTCTGGTCTTCCTGCTGTGTTCTTGGTTCCTGTCCCCAGCTCTTCCTCTCCCTCTGTGCTCCCCTTTGCCTCCCCATCACCTCCAAATTCTGCTTACCCTGCAGGTCCTGTTTCTTCCTAGAAGCAGCGCTGGGGCTTGAGCCAAGGAGGGAGGAGCTGGGCAGCTCACGGCATCTCATTTAGCTCCATGTGGTCCCAAGTGATGCTGCGATTTCCCCGCAAAGCTCACCACCCAACCAGGGGAGCAAGCACTCATCACAGCCACCTGACCAGAAGTGAATGAGACAGGGTAAGAGGGAGCAAGGGGTAACAGGAAGCAGGCAGGGTCGGGGATCGAGGGAGCAAAAGCACAGTATGAATGGAACCCAGTTGCTCTCGTGATGCCAGCTCAGAGGGTGCATGCCAAGGAGGATGGAGTCCAGATGTTGGGTAGAGAGGGGACCTGGGTCAGCTTACAAAACCCTGCACTCCTCCACCATGCACTTGCGGCTCAAGCCTAGAGACAACAGGCAGATGCAGAGGGTGCTGGGAGGGCAAAACTGTCATGTTTTCCACTACACAGCCAGGGCATGTCTAGGGCCAGTGCTTGGCAATCCAAATTGACCAGTAGACTGTTTTCTGTGCCCCCATCCTCACCGCTCCTCCATTCTCTCTTCCTCGAAGAGTGAAAGACACAGAAAGCCCCAGCCTCTGTTCCTCTGCAACCTTGCACACCCCCCACACCATCTGCCTTCCTTTCCAGTCAGGGCGCATGTTGGAAGGGAGCCCTCTGTACTTCCCGTAGACTCCACCACTCACATCTCCATCTTCTTGCCCAACGCCCTTCTGTCCAAGGGCTGATTCCTCAGCAACATTAAATACACAGTACAAATCAGCCCAGTGGCCTTTCCCAGTGTTATATACCAAACTCCAGGAGAGCTCCTCCCTGTGTGTCTGTAAGCATCTCCAGGAGGGTGATAGGCACAGTGGTGAGTGGAGTTGGAGGATAAGAGGGAGGGGCTCACAGAAGCTGTGAATCCAGGTATAGAACAGCCACCCTTAGAAGGGGCTGTGTGTCACTTGTTGGCTTTGTTAGGACCCCAGTGCCAGGGTAGGGGCTTTAGATGCATGTCTGTGCATGGAGCTTCAGTGGACTTGAGTTAGAAATTCTGTCCTTTAAATGCTTTCTCCTGGCTAGGACCCACGTGCAGCCAGTGACAGGCTCAGGGTCGCCTGGAGCTGGCCAGGAAGCCCTGCCCTGCTTGGGCACTGCTCTGTAACTTCTGCCCCTTCCTTCATTCTTCTCTCCCATCTCCTGGCCACTGCTCAGCCTGGAGGTAAAGAGGCGGGAGTCAGACAGAACTAAATTTTGAGTTCCACCTTTTTTGCTTCTTCACCATGTGGTCCTACGTGGATTCTTTAACCTCTCTGGCCCTCAATTTCCTTACCCGTGAGGGAGATTACACCTTTCCTTTACAGGGACAATGTGTGGACCGAACACGGCAATATCTAGATAGGACTGATCTCTGTGGCGCTTGGCCTCCAGCAGGGCTCAGTCAACTCTGGCTATCGTTAAGAGCTTTGGTAAAGCACTTGGCAGTGGAATAGACATTCCACAAATAAGAAGCCTACAAGTGTAAATAGTTATTAATTATTATGATGACTAATCATAATTATTGTTGATGATAAATGTGAGAAACACTACCCAAACGCTAGCTCCCCCACTCAATCTGTCTGCAAACAGACATCATTCCTCAAGCACAAAGAAACATTCTGTAATCTGGAAAGAGAGCTGGTCCCAAGCACAGACAAACAGACAGCACTGTCCTTCCACCGCCCACAGCACCGGTCTCAGCCTGGCAGGTGCCATTTATCCAAAGGCATCCATGCAGCTGTTTGGGGTTTATGGCCTGTGTCTGTTATGCTTGGCTCTTCTGCCTCTAGGGTGTTAAATATGTCAGATGTTAATGAACCAAGGACCTCCCTTTGTGATTTTCCTGAGTCCTAGCTCATGGGCAAGCAGGCCAACTTGTTGAGCAGAGGGAGCTAGGAAAATCCTGGTCCAGCTCCCAGAATGTCACTTCTGGGATGAAAGCAGGTGCAAAAAGAGCAGGCTCTGAAGAACTTACAGATCTCAACATTGTCCTAAAAACTGGTCATAGCAAGGTGCCCAGGGCAAGGTCAGATTCCAGCATAGTGGGAGCTCAATAAATGCTTGGACAGGTGGGTGGGCAGACAGGAGAAATGGCATTAACCATGCCTTCACATTTCCTGTGGACTGAAGATTTGACCTCTGGGATCTTGCTGATACCAAAACTTGGACTCCTGGGGCCTTGCTGACCTTGGCGAGATGTCCTATCTAAGACTGGTCAGTTCCAGAAAATACAGAACTCGCCTCTGAGTGTGCCTCTCGAGAGTGTCTTAGTCTTTTTTGGGGTACAAGAACAAAATGTCACAGACCAGGTAATTTATAAAGAACAGGAATTTCTTTTCTCAGTTTTAGAGGCTAGAGGTTCCCAGGTCCAGGTGCTGGCAGTTTCAGGGTCTGATGACAGCCTGATCCCTGCTGCTAAGAGTGCTGTGTCCTCCCAAGGGCACAATCCCTGTGTGCTCATAGGGTGAGAGGGCTGAAGAACAAACAAGGCAAAAGGGCCTGGCTGGCTCTCTGCTGCCTGTTGGTAAGGTTCTAATCCCAACTGTGAGGGCAGGTCCCCCTCCCCCAGGCCTAATCACCTGGCAGGGCTCCACTTCTCAATACTGTTGCACCAGGATTAAGTTTCAACAGGAATTCTGGAAGGGACACAAGCACCATAGCGATATGCAAACCAGGCCTGAGGCCACACCCTGCCCCTGCTCTCCTGAGCTGTCACACCCAGAGGCAGGTTCCAAAGGGTACCTATGTGGTGGTGGTGGCCAGGAGCCTGCTGAAATTATCCTAACTGGCCAACCCCAGCCTACTTTCCCTGCACTGACCATTCCAGCCCACAGGAGTCATGAGAAAAGCCCTTGCTCAACTCCCCTCATCCTCGCTCCCTCTGCTTTCCACGGGGCCACGTGGCCTATGGGGATTAGGGAGTAACTAACTTTTTAGTGGCAGTCACCACCTGATCTGTTGGCCACACACACACAATACCTGGGTTATGGTACAATCTAAAGCTTAAAACAAAGAGGGAAAGATAGAACGGGAGGAAGTGGGAGATGGGCCCACTCGGGCTTCTTGTTTCTGGTAGACCAGAAACCGTGTTTAAAAGAGGCACTGGATGTGTTTGGAAGAACACATCCCTTCCTGGGAGCAGCGGCCCATAATCAACACAATTGACAGTGTGCCCTTCTCCCTTTAGGGATAGAAAGGCTTGGATCTGAATCAGGGCCACGCTATCCACTGGCCCTGAGACCACAGACAGCTGGCTTAACCTCTCTGTGGCTTGTTTACTTAACTGTCGCATGTGTGTGCACATGTGTGTGTGTGCTTGCCTGCCTTCTGAGTTCTTTGCAGCTGGAATGAGACCCTGCACGCACAGCCGGGCACCCCGCACAGAGCCCCAGTCCGCTCTGTAAATAAAAGCACCCGGGTACCATCTGTGGGAGGCTACACCTTCCTCACCCAGAAGACCCCACTGGAGTCTCTTAGACTTCTTGGAACTCTATCTGCACCCCCATTAGTCTTCAGAGACTGGAGGAGAACTGGAAGGCCCCAAGTCCCCGGATGCACCTGGCCTTCCAACCATCCTGCCCTCCAAGTGCCAGCGACCCCTTCCTGCTGAAACAACGCTTGGCTTTCCTGGCCGCTTCCCAGGGAAGAGGTGAGGACCTTCACACTGGAGCCCCATTTCAATCTACGCATCTCCCCTGTATGCCATCACTCTGCAAAAACAGCTAATTTTAAAATGGTTGCTCTCGTGATGGACGAGATTAATGGATCTTGAAGAGCAGCCAGTACACCAACTGCTCTTGCAGCCATGATGAAAGCTAATAATGTAGAAAATTCTGCCAATTCCTTTAATTCATGAATATTTAAGCCTGTGAAAAATCTGTCAGATTATATCATTTTTTTCTGGTGATTTTCCGCCTAAGTACATTCGTGGCAGCCTGCCAGTTGCTCAAGAAACTTCAGTGGGAGCAGAATCATTTTTGTTGTTGTTGTGGCTGTGGGCTGTCATCTTCTCATGGATTTATCCCTCTTCCCACATTTCAGGAGAGGGACCCAGGTCCACTTGTGACAGCCCAAGATGGTCAATTCCATTTCATCTCAGTTGCCATAGATTCTGATCCAAATTCAAAGCCTGGCAGGAGCCTTGGAGATCAGAGCTCAAGGTCTGCAAACTGTGCTCCGTGGTACCCATAATAAGTGGCAGGCGTAGCAGGGTCAGTGGGAAAGGTTTGGGCTGGAAGTGCTGTGGACGGAGCTGTGGGAGGTGACACCTATTTCTGACAAGTGGTTTTGCATTAAGCATCAAGGTTCCATGTAGACTTTCCCTGGAGAGCGGTGTTACTCCAATTTAAAATTTTAAGGGGCGCCTGTGGAAAGCAGGCTCTAAACCATGTCCATCCAATAACAGATGGAGAAAGCAAACCCTATATGGACAACTACTTTGCATGGCACTTGAATTATGACCAAGGTTCCCAACTTCAAATGAGGGTTCTCTTTCTTTCCAGCACACCTCAGCTGGCCCCCTGACCACTCAGCACCATGAGGAAGTGGAGTCCAAGGGGCCGCAGGTCCGGGCTACCAGGGAAAGACCTCACAAAAGCCAAAATGCTTCCCAGCAAAGATGAGAAACAATGAGCCTGTTTAGCGATAGAAAGGGAGGCAGGGAGGGTTGCCAACGCTAGAGATGATTATCATTCAGGGACTCATTGGCTGGAGGAAGGCCGAGCTGCTTTATATAGGAGCTCCAGTTCCTCGTTTTGTTCTCCTAGGTTATTCTCCAAAGAAAGCCACTCTGGAGTCAGCTGGCTGGAGCACTCCGGTTCTGGCCTCGATGGCCCGAGTTCAGCACTTGCCTCAGCTGGTCACGTCCTCACCGGGGCGGCCGGCTGGCCTGCCCGCCCACACTCTGCCAGGAGCCCGGGTCAGCTCTCGCCTCTCAGGGGCCGGAGCCCGTCCAAAATCAACAAGTCTTTTGTGCTTCTCCTTTGGAGGCTGTGTAATTACAGCAAACATGTATTGGCGGTGCACAGCGATCATGAGGCAATTGTTGAAGGATCTCAAATGCACTTGGCATTGGGTCTTGGAGAGCAACTCGAGGAACCACAGCTCCAGTTGACTCATGCTGGCCAGAAAAC